GTCTGAAGAAAAAAATACCTGAACCCTAACCCTAACCAGATCATGGAGAGGCAGTACCCCAATAGGGGTCGCTTCCTCTCTATGTAATTTATGTGTATACATATGTGCAATTCATTTAAAAGACTCATCTGCGCCATATATAAACATCATTTTGAGCAGGACTGTCGGCGATAGGTGATATTGCAACACGCTCGTACGAGCTGCCGGGGAGTGGCTCTGAAGTGGCCATGGACGATGCACATTTAAAATGTCGTTTGACACAGCTAGCAAGGGCTTCCATGCATTTCGGGATTAGAAATTTCGAAGCAGGCATTGTCAGCAAGTCGTTTGTCAGCTTTAATTCAGTCGTTCTGACCATGGATGAACCGGCTGCTGAAGCTAGTTCTGCCGACGCCGGAAGGTGTCCCTGCATGATTACTGAACTTGGAGATCTGTCAGTGGGCATGTTTCTTAATTGCCAGCGCCTGAACCGCCGTAATTGCAGTCATGGATGCTCAAGTCGGACCGTGCATGAGCTTCCAAGGCATTACGTCTAGCATGTCTTTCCCTCGTCGACATTCAGCACATATTTCCCAAAGCTAGGCAGAGAGCAAGGCAGATATGTCTCGACTCATATGCGGAGCAATACATATGGCACTTCAGGCCTAGATTGTAGCTGTGAGTGGTGGGTGCTTGCTGTTATGGACAGCAAGGACTGGAGTGGTTTGAAGTTATATTGCATGTCGGAATACAGCTTAGACAATTTCCTGCAGGAGGATACCGTGACTTTATCCGCTGAGGAGGATGCTGCTTGCTTGCAGTTCCAAGGAATGAGGAGCACGATAAAGAATGTTGTTTTGATTCTATAGGTGGTGCTGACCATCACGTTGGCGTTAACGCCAATTTTGCGGCCTCTGCACAGCCTTAACCTTAGCCTTTGCAGAGCCGTGGACCTAGCAACCTGCTGATCGGGAAGCATATATGATTGGCCCAGGTATCGAGGTCATTTGGCCGAATGCGATGCGCTTTGCACATCCAAGTTCAGATCTGTCTACTGACTGGATAGTGAATGAAGCTTTTAGTATCCTGGACACAACGCTGGATTCTTTAAGTCACTTGGCTCGCATGGCTCACGAGGGACTTCCTATTTGCTTGCATGTGTCAACACATGCAGCACAGCATATTGAGCATATTGAGACACTGATGAGCTAGCCCAGGCTACGTGGTGGTTGATAAAGTTCCAGCACCGCGTGTTTTCGAAGCGGCTGTGCCTTGGACAACCGCTGTGCACAACCTGCAGGGTTTTTTGATTGAATTCCAGCTCAATGTTAGCTTGAACACTTAAGGTTGAGCAGGCTTGCAGAGACCCGGAGGAGGGGACCTTCAATCTGTCGGAACTCCATCGTAAAGTGGTGGCGAGCCTCTTGAAGAGATCCTTGTCGCGAGTGCGAAGATTGCTCGCCAAGACTGAGTGACTAGGCTGAAGCTTTGGGCTCATGCGGGGATTTCGCTACCTTCAGTGCCAGTATTGCAACATTCCAGCCCAGGAGCTCGTTTAATGAGCGGATGGACCGACTCAAAGATAAGTGCCTTGCCCAGCAACATTAAGCAATTTGCTCAAGATCAGGGTCTTATGCAGAACCTGTATCTGATGATTGCAGGATGTCGAAGTGGCCAGCAAGGCCGAAGCGGCGAAACAAGAGTGCCATGGAAGATCCGAACGTGGACTGCGCATCGGATTCAGAGCACGGGTGCTTTGTTTGCCATAATATGAGGATAAGCTCATTTGTGTTCATATATGGCCACGTCCAAAGCAACTTCCTGAATTGATGTGGGGTTCTGCATATATCTCAGGGATACCGATCTGACCGAGGCGGAGCTTCTTGGATCTGAAGCAGTGTATGTCCGCAGTTTTGTGTGTTAGTGCACTCTTGCACATCTATTTCGAAGTTCAAGGTTGCAATCGCTAGAGGAGACCTGGGGTGACCTGAACCGGTTTACTCCCTCAGAAGTTGGAGATCTCAGAGATGTCCAGGAGTGATTTGGTTGCAACTTTGCATAACCTAGCAGCTCTTAATTACTTGGGTTCCTGTGTTGCTGCAGGCCCGCATCAAGCTCAACACCTCAGCCATCAAGTGCGAGGCCATCAGGCTCAACGCCATCAAGCTCGAGACCAGTGCCTACCGTACCATGGCTTGCACCTAGATTTGTTCGGTTGACATGCATGGGTCTTGTTCCTCGGCTGGCTGCGGCTGGATTTGCAAGGCCGCCCGGCAGCGGTATTGGGAGGCACACAAGAAGTTGTTTGGAGAGGTGGGGGGCTTGATATGGAAGGCAGATACAGTTCAAGACACATCCATACAAATATGAACACATTGAACATGTCACAGGACCCCATCGAAATTGAGGAGTCTTCCGAGGAAGCAGATGATGAGGCTGCCTTCCAGATGGTATGTGCAGACCGGGCCTTCGTGCACCAGAGTGTGTTTGGAGAGCCTCTTCCGATTTATGTTGTATTTTGCTTGAGCATGCTGTGTATATGGGACCCACATATGTTCTCATGCCAAGGAGGACAGCAAAGCAAAGAAAGCTATGCAGCCAAAAACGAAGAAGAAGGCCAAGGCCAAGGCCAAGGCATCCCGAGTCATCAAGCCGACGTCTTCGAAAAAAAAGGGGGAGGAGAAAAAGCCTGAGGATCCCCAGGATAAGGAAGGGCCCGTGGAAGACGGGAAATTGATCTTTGCTGGGCGATATGTTCCTGATGGTGTGGCTCCGCGTTGGAGATTTATCTATGCCAAAGAGGCCTTTGACATGTAGCTTTTGCAGCATTAGATACAGGTGGGGTATTCGTGTGCATGCACTACATATGTCTGTAGGAATTATAAACTTTTGCACTTATCTGAGGCACGTCGCACATGTGGTTCTTGGTGGCAAGAGCAAAAATGAGCGCGAGTTCATGTCCTACCTCTCGAGCCAGGGCTACCTTGAGCTGGAGGACGAAGGCAACATTTATGAAAGCGCTCACGAGCTGGCGGTCGCTTTTGCTCTCCGCAAGGCGGCTTGAGCCTGGTTTGAGCCAAATATAGGGTGTAGAGGGTTGTGGGGTTCCAGGTTTGAGCCAAAATCGTCATTTGGGTTATGGGTTGTGGGGTCCCGGGTATGTTTCAGGCTTAGGGCAGGTTGTTGTTTTACATAGAACAAAAGCATTTAGGGTTTGGCCAGTGCCTTGCTGTCTTAAGTACGGTTCCTGGGCTGAGGGTAGGGTTCTAGTGCTTCTGATTTCTCAAAAAGTCTAAGACCTGGGCCATCGGTTACTAACTAGATTGCTGATAACTTATACCATACCCATAGGTATCTGGCATAATTCAAGGTTTCTAGGGTTGAGGTGTAGGGCAAAGGGCAGTTCTGGTGTTGCAACAGTACGTGGCTTTTTCATCGTTGTCTGCCAGATCAAAGCTTCTGGACCTATGTTAGCTCGATCTGCGCAGGTGCCGATCTGATGTTTCGAAGCACTTGGACCAGAGACTTGTCTGCGCTTGCATTTGGCTTCTGACGACACAGTGCAGACCAAGATTAATTCCTACACCGGTTGTTGCAATCCTCAGGTCTGTCGCACGAGAGCTCTGACCGAAGCATCTGCTGTAGAGACCAAAAATGTCTGTTATCGTCGCTGATTGAAGCAGCTTCTGAAGCTATGCTTGCGGTATGGAGCTGGGTATTGCATCAGGGTGCTTAGTTTAATCATCAACAGCCAGGTCAGACGTCTTCTTCGGCCGGCTCTTCACGCAAGCGATCTCGTGCTGCTGCCTGCGACGGCAGTGAGTTCAATGCAACAGGTTTGCCCAAACCCCTGCACCAGTACTGTGAGAGTCCAGTGCACTGTCGGTCAGATTGCAGTGCTTGCTGAAGCTCGAGTGATCCAACTGCGCAGTTTTTGCTGCTTGCAAAAGATCGAATCATCCCTTGTTGATCTGAACTCAATCCGGAGCTCATGTATTAACATGTTCTGCACTAGCACAGAAGCTGTTGTGAAATTCGGTCGAAGTACTGTGTCTACTGCAAATGGCGATGGCGACCTACTTCGTGCTGCTGTTGCTGATTCTGTGCTTGGTCTGACATGAGACCATGCAATGTCCAGCCTGGTTCGGTAATGTTTTTGTTTGCCGTGTGACTTTCTGAGGTGCCCTACAGCAATGGCTAGCAAAGCCCTGGTGGAATCCATGCTGCAAGCTCACATTCCCAAAATGTTGATCCTTATATGCTTGCTCTTGCTGCTTGTCCAGAATTAACGTGTGGCTTCGTGACCACCGGTGGTACGTACTCGGCAGCTCCAGCTCAGGCTATGGAATTCCGAGGTGCCCGTGGCACCGAAAAACGATGCAGTGGACCTGTTTTCAGGTGCTGGTGCTGTGACTGTCAGAGCCTCGAGCATACATATTCTGTATAGTAGACCACCAGCCCCAAACTCCCAAGAATCCGATCGAGGCTGGCCTGGTAGCCCGCGGATTTCGAGTGGCCTCGCACGACCTCGAGTTGAACCCATCTATGAATATATTCCATGCAGCAGGCTTTGCGCGACTCAGCCCCCACATGTGGCATGCACGAAGAGCAGCTGTTGCAACGAAATCCCAGGCTCATGCTTCATTCGATCTTGTGCTTGGACCCGGAAGGACCAAGGCAGCTGAAGTGTTGATCTTTCAATCAAGCACATTCACTGATATCCTGGGCCCCGGCATGTAGGTTCCTCATGGCTGCACCTGTTTGCAGCAGCTGGGTATGGATCAACCGAGCTACCAATAAACGGAGTGGGGAGCCTAATTGCTGCACACACCAGTAGCCCAATTGAGAAATCTTTGATATCTGCAGGTTTGGAATGCCCCCTGGGAGATACAAGCAATATCAATGTCGGCCAGGCCAACCGAATGGTTTCAAGGAGCTCGTGCATATGCTGAGTCGTTTCATTCAGAAACTCTGTACTAGCTAGTAGCTGGCAGGACCATGATGTGTTTGTTGCTGGTATTATGGATGGGGGGCAACTACATCTTGGAGCAGCCTGCTTCGAGTATGATGAGCTCACACCCAAGGTGGGTTCACGTGGCCCGACAAGGGGGCCAGGTTTCGATCAATACCTATCTTGGCGCCTGGAAGCACTGGACAGCAAAGCTGACTTCCTTCTTTTCCAACCAGCCACTAGACTGCGAATGCATAGCAATGTGTAACAATCAATTATCTGTACTAGCACAATGGGGACTTGCCATTATGGCCAGCAATGGGCTACTATACGTGATGAACATATTGCTGGATCGTCTTGGGACCTCAGGTTGACGATGTGTCAGAATGGAAAAACATACAGTCTTATACAATACTTGAGGAATTGAAAAGCTCAAAACAAATAGATGTATGTGTCTTTATACATCACAGTATACATACATACATACATACATACATATATATATATATATATACATATATATATACCTGTATACAGATAATCTGTCCGTTCTATCATAAGAATATAGTCAGATACTTTGGCTTCTTTGGCTGGCAGGTTCCAGGGCCCCAAGTCGAGAGTAGCAGGCTTTCTTAAGATTAGGACAAGCATACTATAGGCCTATATGCCATAACAGAATAGCTTAGCGTATCTTTTAGGGCTTCTCGAATCTGAGGATGTGGGTCGGTGGGCTCTACCGCAAGCTTACCCCATATCGGCGACAGGAAATGGACGAACGCCGCAAGGAATTGGGGATGGGGCCGTGCTCGATCCACGAAGACGGCAAGGTGACAGGCACCCCGTACTTGAAGTCGGCGCAGACCCTCGATCGGCAGTGATTTGTGGCAGTTGCTCGATTCGGTTCAATTCATCTTGTATGTGGAATGAATAAATTGGCACAACATATACCTAGGCACTACCCACCAGAACTGGGTGATCAAATTTCGCAACTCGTCCTCGACTACCCCAATGCATCACCAGCTGCGCAAGTTCGTTTATTGCAACGACAGAATGGCGACGACGACACAGGGCGCCATGCCATGACTTAAGCTTGCACAAAATACGCAGCATATATTATATATGTGCATTTACAGATCGAGGTTTGAGCTCTTCTACGGTGAAGATGGAAGCCTGAACCTCGATGACACCTGGGACGACGCTGCTTGCTGCCACTAATTTACAACTCGCTGCTTCCACTGCTGGTACAGTGCTCTTCGAAAGCTTAGGCTGATGTATGGGATGTCCTGGTATATTTGGGGAAATCCCGCAATTTGGTGCCACCAGGAAAGGGATGGAGGACCAGTGAAAGTAGCAAACAAAGCTATGGGGTCAGCTGATACCAAGCGCAGTATTCCTGTTTCTGTCCGGCCCCTGAAGGACCCTGTTGGTGGACCTCGGTGTCCGCAGCCCTGGCTATGAGAAGCTGGCCTAGGGAGTTCTGTGTCAGCCTCGACCCATAGAAAATATGGAACCTGCCTTACTACCTCGATGCATCCCCAACCATAGGAAAAATCCCAAGCCCAGCTTAAGACAGCTAGATATCAGGCCCCTGGCACCCACCCTGAGCTAGACGCATGCACAAGCCCGGCCAGCTGTTGATCGAATTGTGTGTTGCTTGATATGGGTCGAGCAAGGATTCAGCACCTCGAGGTTTTTAAGGCAGCGAAACTTCGGTGGCTTGGGGCCAGCGATTAAAAAAGCTTCTCTTAGGCTGTATGGGGCAACTTACTACTAAATGTGTGCTTTGCGCTCATGTAGGAGCACCCAGTGGCAAGTATTCTTTCGAGTAGTTAAAGCAACGAAACGAGTAGCTTCCAACTGATATATATATATATATATATGTATGTATGTATGTATGTATGTATGTATGTGTTTCTGCCCTTGGGTCCCTGTGTTGCTTCATGTAGTCTTGCCAAAGTCCACACTATACCCAGTATCAAAACACTGTACCGTAACCGTATTGAAGCTTGTAGTCTTCAAGGGGTACGAACTTTCGACCCACAAACCCCAACACCCAAATCTACGGAGCCGTTATAGCAAAGTTAATTCTTGAGTACCTATAGAGCACTGCGTGCTAGACGTACACCCATGCAAGTGGCCCGAAGCTGCAAGCCCTCGCCTGCTTGCAAGATATCGAAGATTTGGAGAAATCACGAAGCACAGACCTGGCCAAAGTGTAAGTGTTTGAGGTTTTCGGGTTTAGGGTTAATGATTTAATGATTTGTTCCGACCCTCCCCAGAGTGAAGTGTAGGTCTCCTATACGAAAGGTAGCTAGCACTCTTGTTCGATCATTATATATGCAAGCCTCTGTCAGCTATGAGCTACCGGCTAGGGCTCGATCGTAGTGTACCCAGCAAAAGTAAAAAGTATATGTACATTCAAGCTAAGGTGTAAAGATGCTCTCCCACACGACAACAGCTTCAGGAACTTGTTCTTCATCCAATCTGCATCCATCCTGGGTAATGTAAGATCGTGACCCTGAAGGCAAACCCTTTCCTGCGAAACAACCTATAGGGTATTGTGGTATTGAGATTTGAGAAGTATAGAGGACATTGGATTGCCAACCCAACAAGCAGGAACACTGCTCGGTAGAGGCTGTGCAATATATTGTCCGATATCACCAGTATTCTCCACCTAGCCCTGGAATCTTACGAGCGCATTTGGTTCCCTAGTGCACCAAACTCCAAGCAATTGTCGGGCTTGGATCTCGGGACCACGAATTACATATAGGACTCAGGGGTCATAAGGAGTTAATCTTTCGATTAATGCTGGGTTCCACAAACCAACTACGAACACGTATCCTAAACCCCTAAACAGGAACACTACTCGGTCGAGGCTTTGGAATATTGTGCCCGGTTTCACCAGCCTTCACCTTCTAGCCCTGGAATGAACAATATCTGAACATATTTTCCCTAGTGCACCAAACTCCAGACCACAGGGCTTGGGTCTCAGGACCACTAGTAATATATAGGATTCAGGGTCAAAGGGTTAAATTATTGATAAATGCTGGGTTCTTCAGACCAATTGCTAACACCCTAATGACTACAGCCCTAAAACCTAAACTGGGGGTGCTTGCTCTCAGTGTCGAGTATGCGTTCTACAGTTGGGGTTTGCCCAGGACAAATGGACCATGGATCTGTATTTGCAAAATGTAACTCATGTGACTGTGTGGAGCTTTGTTGCATATGCTTTCGTACCGGCTTGGGTCTTCTGCATTCTAGATAGTCAAGGATGTACGGTTTTGTACGCTTTTGCATGGGCTTGGGTCTTCTATTGTAGTCTATAACTATATATGGACTAGGATGTACGGTTTTGTACGCTTGTGTGTGGGCTTGGGTCTTAATGCAGGATGTACGATGTTTTGTACGCTTGTGTAGAGGCTTGGGTCTTCTATGTTCAATAGTCTGCAGGACTAGGATGTACGGTTTTGTACGCTTCTGTACGCGCTGGGCTCTTCCATTTAGTCTACGGTGTACGGTTTTGTACGCTTTTGTACGGGCTTGGGTCTTCTATTCTAGTCTAAGAGGTACGATTTTGTACGGTTGTGTACGGGTTCGGGTCCTCTGTTAAGTACGGTTTTGTGCGGAATGATCGTCTGCTCTACTGCAGAATGTACGGTTTTGTACGCTTGTGCACGGGCTTCATTGTCTTCTTCAGATCTAGCGGATGTACGCTTGTGTACGGCTTGATTTGTTCTGCTTCCTTAGAACTTAGGGTTCGTCTGTGATAGCCCACTCCTGCGGCTTGCCTCTGGCTTGAGCGGATCCACATCGACGCAGGTGCCCTTGACATCTTGTACACGCACATGTAGTGTACGATATGCAAAACTAGCAAACAGACAGGACCGTACAAAACCGTACATTTCCGTACATCCTGCTTATAAATAAAAGAACCGTACGCGTACAAAAGCGTACAAAATCGTACATCGCTTCTGAGACACATTTTGAAGCTGAAACTCCCTGAGGGCCGCTTTGCATACTAGATTGTGTGTGCTAGCATTGGCCTGGCAATGACTGATTCACAAGTGTTCTGGCCTTGGCTTAATGACCTGAAACAACTGTTTAGTCACTAGATATGATCTGATTCCTTAGGTCGAATGATACATTGCTTCGTGGGATTTCCTATATGGACACGATCTACGAAAGCCAGGCCAGGTTTTGCTGTAATATGTATTTGGAGTCACTCAGCCAGCTGTTGCAGGCAGAGCTTCGGGCTGCCAAGAAAGAGATTCTTGAGGCATGTTTCATTTTCAATTAGAGACTATCTTAGGGTCCCATATATCAAGTCCTAGTGGCAGGCAGAAGGATCGAAAACAAGATCTGATTATGCTGCAAGTGTGGCTGTGACTTGTCTCATATATAATAGGAGACTCTACCTATATGATTCCTGTCGGGTTTGGTATCTCAGGATTCCGAAGCTACGCAACCTTGGGATGGAAATGTGGCTGCAGATGCAGCCAAAGCAAAGGCCAATGACATGGATGATGACCTGAATCGGGAGCTCGAAAGGCTCATCGATGAAGAGGCGGACCCATTGGGACCCATAGACCCTGAAGCCTAGCTTAGGGGGATTTGATAATGTTAACCGATCGTCATATATGAACTGGAAAAACCCATGAGTTGCATCCTTAACCTCGATCCTTCAACCCGTCAGGGACCCTGAACCCTCAAAAGTTGTTGCTTGCAACCAACTACCCAATGCCTTTGTGATCAGGAAGCTCTGGAAAGAGCAGCTGCAGCAGCTGCGACGCAACCTGAGAGTGATGAAGGGACATTAGAGACTAAGAATGAGCGAATCCAGAGGGAGTATGAAGAATCATTGGGACGTGTTGCTGAAGACGCTAAGAAGCGAGTAGCAGACTTCGAAGCAGCAGCTAGGATGATGGAGGTGGAACAAGCGCAGCAAACAGAGCAGAAAAGCCAAGCAAATGAAGCAGAGATGAAACGGCTGCAAGCAGAACTTCAACGAAAGCTTGATGAGGAAAGCTACCAGCAAAGGCTACAGCAGGAAGCAGAAGCAAGGAGGCTGGCTGCGGAACACCAAGAAAGGCTGCAGCAGGAAGCAGAAGCAGAAAGGCTAGCTGCAGAAAAGCAAAGGCTGGAGCGCGAAGAAAAGCATCGGCAGGAGCTTGAAGCAGAAGTGAAAAGGCAGCAAGCAGAGAAGCAACGACTGGAGCAGGAAGCAGAAGTGCAAAGGCGTCTAGCAGAGAAGCAACGGCAGCAGCTGGAAGCAGAAGTGCAAAGGCGTGCAGCAGAGAAGCAACTGCAGGAGCTGGAAGCAGAAGTGCAAAGGCAGGCAGCAGAGAAGCAACGGCAGGAGCTGGAAGCAGAAGTGCAAAGGCAGGCAGCAGAGAAGCAACGACAGCAGCTGGAAGCAGAAGTGCAAAGGCAGGCAGCGGAGAAGCAACGGCAGGAGCAGGAAGCAGTAGCGAAAAGGCAGGCAGCAGAGAAGCAGCGGCAGGAGCAGGAAGCAGAAGCGAAAAGGCAGGACGCAGAGAAGCGGCAGGAGAGCCAGAAGCGAGAAGCAGTGCCAGAGGAGACTGAGGAGATCCGTCGTCTGCGGCAGCGGATTACGGACCTTCAGGCCGCAGGAAGCATGCCGTCGTCGTTCACCGCCTTCAAGATGGCATTCACTGAAAGCCCACAGAAGTCGTCTGTTGGTCGCGACTTAAGCCCTTTGTCGCTAGAGCTGAAGAAGGCGAAGGAGGAGGAGGACTTCTTGAAGAGGGAAGTTAAAAGAGCCCAGCTGCAGCAGGTGCGCGCTCGAACCGAGGCGTTGAGGGCAAGACTTTCGGAGAGTGATCCAGATGGGGCGGTGAAAACTCCGGAGCCCAAAGTGCCTGCAAGCGTCAGCCCGCCGCCCAAAACACCAGCACCGGCAACCAGCCCTGGCCCTTCGAGCACGCCACCACTGCCGAAGTCCCTTCCAGCAGTCGCTGTCAGCCCACCGGCCCAGCTCAACAGGGGCAGCCCTCTAGAAGCAAGCAGCCAAGGGAGCAGTGAAGCTGGAGAGCAGAGCGCGGAAGCAGCTACGCATGCATCTACATCGATTTTTGTAATATGTGATTTCGTTTTAAGAACCCATAAACCCTATTAACAAGCCTGTTTCGTATCTCAGGACAAGAAAAAGGCGGCAGCGGCGGCATTGCAGACTGTGCGCCGTCTAACGACAAATCCACACAAATGCACGTTTGAGATTCTCCAGCAGTGGCGAAGCGGTGGTGAGAACCGCAAGAGTCTCATTCAGACGTTCTACCAGAATGGATGCGATGTTACTAAGACGACCGTGAATCTGATCATGAAAGACATCATGGTGGAGCCAATTTCTCAGTTGCCAATTCTGTTTGATGCAATTTGCCAAATATCCCAGGGTCCCCTTAATTCATTCGGGTATTCCATAGAACCAAGGCAAGAAAAGAAGAAGAAGGAGGCGTTGACGGAAGAGCAGGTCTATGCCCACTATGCCCCCAACCAAGAGAAAGCGAAAATGGCTATCCACTTTGCCGTGCAGGAACAGCGCAGGTATCTCAGTGTATTGCCGATTGAAAGCTCCTATTCGACTACAACAGAGTGTAATTCTATCCTAAGGCTTCAAGGATGATCCGAACTTCCCCCCGGGATCTGGACACAAGCTGTTCAACATCTTTACTGAGATGTCTGAGACGGAGAAATTCGAGAAGCGCAGAGAGGTGGAGGCGAATGTCCGCTCGCTGGCTCAGGACCAGCGGCCACTTGCGAAGCAGATCTTCCAGGAAATGCACTCTAGCTGCACATTAGAGATGCTTGAAGTAGTGTGTATCCATCTTTCTCGGTCTAAGTGAATTGTATCCCTTACTATGAATGTATGGTAATCCTGCCATAACCCAACCCCCCCGCAACCAAAACCCTAAACCCCTATAAGCCTTGAACTCTGAAGCCGGCATCGATCAATAGTAACTATATAGTATCCACACTGAGGGTCGTATCAGGGTGCATTCCGATGCAACCAATGAATACTGCCCTAAGCCCTTAACCCGAATGCCGAACTTTCAACCACTACCCTTAAACCGAAATGCCGAACCTGAAACTCTGGCACCCCTAATCCTGAGTAAATGCTGGGGGCGGCCACTCCAGGTGTGCCGTTTCAGCAGCAGCTGCGCCAGAGACCTCCCCGAAAGCTGTGGAGAACGCGGGAGGCTGTCACACAACACATATAAGCCTTTAGCCCCAAACCTTTATTTGACCGCCCTGCAGGACTTGCGGAAGCGAAGGCGAATCCGAAAGTGTCCGCTGCCAAGGGCAGTGCAAAGGCGAAAGCAGCGAAAGCGAAGGGGCCACCGGCCATGAAAGCCGGCATATTCGAGCTGAGCAAGTGCCGCGCATCCGATTTGCGCGAGGCCCTCCCAAGGTTCAACCGCGCGGATACGAAAAAATCCATGGAGCGTGAGGTGCTACACAAGGTGCCGTCTTGTGGGTTAATATAACGACTTCAACTTCATAATTAGGGTTGTGGGACTAGCGTGTGTAGGGCAATGAATATGGTAAGTATATATTTCCGGTATGGGGGGGTAGAAACACAGAAACCCTATTATATAAATAGTCTGTAAATCTTTAGATGCTCCCTGAGAGGTCGGTACCACTGCTCGTTTGCAATTGCAACTGCAAGGGGTTGACGAAGCGGACGGGGTCCTCGCATCGATCCAGACGGCCAAGAACACTCTCGAAGCGAGCTACAAGGTACATTCGATCCATGAAACGATAGAACTCAACAATCATGATCACATTCTATTGCAGGACCTCAAGGCATTGGATGAGACAGTCGACGAGAAAGAGTGGCAGGATAAAATCAAGGCCATAAGCTATAGCTCTGTGCCATGCTGATTGCCTTCCCCTCTCTCTGTTGCTTGCTTGCTTGCAGGCAGTGGCAAATGCGTATCTTGTGTATGTCTCCAAGGAGGACAGACAGACACAAAATGACACATGTACTGCTAGGAGGTGTGTACCTGACATTGGCCATTATGCTAAACGAAACCAGTCCTCGGTTATGAATCCTTAACCCTATAACCCTTAACCCCAATCCTAATCCACAATCAGGGGCTGGGTCACTGAAGCATTGGAAGTACTAAGGGATGACACAACCAATCGTAGTGTTTCGGCTGTTGCACGATCGAACATCTCAAGGACTTCGCTGTGGGAGTCGCCAGGGTGCATGCGTCGAAGGACAAGCGCAACTGATCGACCCGATATGGAGAAGCCAATTGCTTATGGAATCAGAACATAGCATTTACTTTCAACTACTGGCCGGTTGTTAGCTTTATGGTTTCGAGGTTTCTATGGCTCCATATTATGTGGCTGATTTCGGGCAACTGGGTAAGCGGCCAGTGCTGTTCTCTATAGGTCGGTGCTATGACAACTACTAAATATGATGTTAATCTGAGGGCTGTTTATCTGGCAGCAAGGGCCCACCAGTCTGCAGTGCAACATGCACAGTGATGCTGAAGCAACTGGCTATAGAAGAGCTGGGACAACATAGGGCAGCTAGGGTTTCTACAGCATGTCTTAATATAGGGATCGATTTGCTCTTTGGCCAGTCCTTCTGTAGCACGAGCATTCCCAGCTTCAGATGGCTAGCTAGCTGTCGTTGTACATGCTATGCATAACTGTGAATCGTGTGATGATTTCTTAATAATACTCTAGTGGTATCTCATACTCTGCAGGGTGCTCAGGCTGATACAGGACATTCCGTTTTGGCTATGCAGCTTCCTGGGTCGAGGCTTTTACTTGCTGCCGTCTGTGATATCAGTTTCTGGCAGCAAATAGCCCACCAGCTAGCCTGCTTCTTTTAAGGAGTCGCTGTGGATCTGGGTACAGTGGCACAGTAGGGCTGTAGTGACTTCTAGTGCCGATGGCATTTATACAGAAGGTACACAGGCCTCAATATAACGTAGTAAGCCTAGCTGCTGCCTACCAGGTGCACCATGCAATTCCCTCAACCCGATTTTTGTCGGATGCAGAGAAAAGGCAAGTATCTGTTCGCGACCCATCCTTGAACGTATGTTGTGCTCTCCGTGCCTCCGTTGCTGTTGCTCTCCGTGCCTTAAGTTCCTTCTATGCGTCTCTCCTTTTGCTTCCCATTCCGTGAGTGCCCCCACGCAGGCCTGCATCCAGAAGCGAAGAAGCAGCCGAGGAGCCCAACCTGGTATCATGTGTTGTCATGTGTGTGTGTGTGCACATGTTCTATAGGTGCTATTTACACTGGTGCCCTAGCGCAGGAAGCGAGATTCGCCGAAGATTCGAGTTCTGAAAAGAAGACTAGCTGCTAAGTTGGCTTCTAAAGCTCATGATGCTGAACGACCTGCAGATCTACGTGTTCCTGGGCAGTTTGGGCTTCCTTACCGGTTGCAAGGCCTGGCTGGTGCAGCTCTAGCCCGCACCGCTGTTGCGTCCTTGAAGAAGAAGAATGCAGATTGCAATTACATATCGGAGCTTTGCAATGCCGCTGAGCATGAAAGTGGTAATCAGATGAGTTGGGTGACGAAAATGCTGGGGGGCCGCAGCACGGAGAAACGCTTTCACCAATTCTTTTCGAGGTCACTTCCAAGAGTGTCAACTATCATGCTACCATTGGTGACTTCCAGGAAAAAGAAGACAGTGGTCGTCAAACCATGCAGCACCCTTGTCGTTTTCCACAAGTTGTTCATTTAACCTTGAAACCTGAAGCCCTACTGATGTAATATTGGGGCTCAATTTCGGGCTCAATCCAAGGCATCGTTCTTCCAAGCTCTTATATGTCATGGTTGCAGAAGCGGCCCTGGATCTTAGAAGCCATCTGCTTTGGCAAGTCTACACACCAAGAGCGCAAGCTGTTACTTGGATCTGGAATCTAGAAATATTGTTTTCATGGGCAGTAACACTAAAATTTTTACTGGCTAATCCCGGCTAGGCTCAGCTCTACTCTGCAAGCTGCTGGCATTGGCTACACTGGAGGTCTGTTGTTGAAACCCAAAGCCCCTAAAACCCTAAATCCTAAACCCTGACATAATTGTTCACCCACAGGGCCTTCCGATCTTCCTGTTCGACTGCATGGAGATGAAGGTCCTGGACAGAAGCAAAAGAATGTGCTGGTCATCAATATGTCATTTCCCTTCTCCCACTCTGGTGAATCTTGCTTGAAATTACTAGGCCTCAGGTGCTCCACAGTATTGTTTGCCCTTGTAACAAACTGAGGACACTCTGAAGACGCGGCTCTGCATTGCATGCTTAACAGGCCAAACAGTCCTCACCAGAGCGATGCAAGTGAACAACCGCATCGGAGTCAGCCATGAATGCACCTTGGATGTTCTGCTGCGACGCATCAAGCAGGACTTGGACAGCTTGCCCCCAGGCTTGAACAGACATGTGCAGCTTCTTACCACCTGCATCCGTAGCATTCTGGGAGTATTCTCAGGACATTCGATTATGCTGGAATCAGATGTCGAAAGCTTTGCTTTTATGGTCTGGCGGGCGATCAGAAATGGCTTCAACAAGTGCTGCGCTTGCCTGCTCCCTAGATCAGCTTGCACAGCTTTGAAACACGAGCTGTCTGCTGCCACCTTGTTGCTAAGTCCGCGGCACTGGAAAGGCAACGGCGAAGCCAATGGCAACAGGACTCCATAATGCATGTGTCGTTGCAGCTTTACATGTGCACGGAGATTGTTTGCAGGATGTGCATGCATTGCCGGTGACTTGGGAAGCAGTTAGCTCTAGAAGGGTCTTATTGCAGTGAAATCTCGATGTGAGGTATGCCTCCACAATCGACCCAATGGATGGTCGAACTTTCTTATCACCTGGATCTGGGCATTATATGAACTTCTTTGGCGATTCCCCATGGGAGTTATGTGGACGTGAAAGCCATGATGAGTCTTGCCAGGTATAGCACTAGTAACTTTTGATTACTAGTCCATCTTAGGGATCTCTGGGCTTAGGTGTGGAAGGTTCTGACACAACTCATTAAACCCTGTCTTTACGATAGACCGGGAGAGCCACCTGAGGATTTCTTGCAAGAACTCACGAAAGCTCATGGAAATCATGGGATACCGTCGATCTGTCATATCAGTGGCTTTCACAACAAACTCATCCACTATGATACGCTCCACGTGTGCTACAGAGGCTTCGCACCTGACCTGGTAGCATCTGTGATGCTGGATGTGTTCACCGCCCAGCTGGGAGGCTTAGTCGCTGCACACGATCAGTGCAAATTATGGGCCAAAGCCAATGGTGAGGAGCTGGCTTGTGACGATTTCATACTGAATGCTGAAGAGAACTCTGCATCCCTCAACGCCAAGGGTGCTGATATTAAACTTGTTTGCTTATGGCTTGCCCTTAGGATCTGAATGAGTTAGATTATATCTTTATTTCTTTATTTTATACCGAAAAAACCGTAAACCCCTAAACCCTAATTCCTTAAGAATAAAATTATCAGATCGGGTGATTGTAGTTAAGGCTGCAGCCGTGCCAGTTGCTGTGCGAAGCTGGAGCGACACTGACAAAGCGCGAGTGCTGAATATGATCCCTGCCTGCTTCACCATGTACCCAAACCCTAAGTCCCCCACCCAACTAGGACCCTAGACCTTTCGTGTTTCGTTTGGACTGGACGAAATTATCCCTGAAATTTAACTGTCCCCCACTGTCGATCCCAAGGACTGTGCGAGCTTTGGCCAAGATGATCCGGCTTATGGAGGAGACTGTGTATGTCATGCCACCGCTGGCAGTGCAACGCGCGAAAATTCTGGTTCGTCGATTTCTTCTTGGCTACCTGTGGCTGAGCCATGATGCTTTCTCCTCGAACGTAAAACGCTACAAGTGTCGCCCCAAGCCTCTTGACATATTTGAAACCATATGGTTCATGTACGGTTGTTGAGATCTTTCCTGTGTGAGCAACCCAGGCTTCACACCTGGTGGCACATGTTCGCCGATCTGGCTGAGCTTCCGCTGAACCCACGACTTAACAGTTGTTTCGGGGATGAAGATTATGTGCGACGACTTTGCTCCATCGATTCTTGACTTTACCTCATTTCGCTTCAGTGCATCAGCAGCATCATGAACATCAGCATACATGTGTAAGTTGGTTTAGTCTTAATATCTGTATGAATGGTACCGATCCCAGGCGTCTGGATGCCACGCTGCTGCAGTACACAAGCAAGCTGTCAAGAGGTATTTGGCAGCTGCAGTGATGCACTGGAACACAAGCTTCAGACCCGAAGACGAGAAAATTCTTGGGCGGAAAGGGGTTTGAAGGGTCTAGGGTTCTAGGGTTTTGAGTTTCAGGTGGAGTTCAAAGTGGGGTTGTGGCTTACAAAGGAAGACCCATCTTCGATTATTGACATACCCTCCAAATATTTAACCTTTGCAAACCTGCTTTCTTCTCTATACCACATTTACACAACAACCAAGACTTGCAAAGTTCAGCCATCCTGTACCCAAGTCCCAAGCTCTTAGCCCCAACCCCAACGACACAGAAATCCTAACCCCTTAATTGAATGCACCTGAAGCCCGGAACCATAATTTTCCCAAACCGTGAACACTGCACCCCTAACAATAACCCTAAACCCTAGAAGCCCTGAGCCAGACGCGCTCAACCGAAAGAATCGTGAACAAAGCCAGCTCCCACAACGAAAGACCCCCCAATCACCGCATAAATCTGCCGCTTCAGTTCCTTAACCCTCTGCGATTTAAGCCCTTAACCTATATGTCTCAACCATATTCCAGGCCCTAAGCCCCAAACCTTAGAAACCTTAAGATGGCTCAAGCTGGCTCAAGAATGTTTGGTGACAAACCAAGCTTCTGCTTCATAAATGATACCCACTTCTGTCTCACCAACCGCCCAAAACCGTAAATTGTTCCAGGATCACTGCAGATCTCAGGCAGGATATCTTGCCAGAACAATTTGAATGGCTGAATCGTAGACATTCTAGCAGCTCCAAATCACAGCATGTGTGTTGAGTAACGATGTGCAAGAAATATTTGTTTGATTTTTTGAAATCCATTGAACAAATGCTTGGCTATCGAATTGCTCTTCCCTGCCCTTGCTTTAGAAAAAAGTGCTTTTCTCCAAAACGATACCCGTTCACCTTTTTTTATTGCTTAACAGACTGCTCCGGGAAAGGGCCGTAAACCTGCTTGAATGAAAAAATTGCCTTTGCCGTGGCTCAACAAAACCTAGTTGTTGGCCCTCAAAGCCAACTCCCGAAAATCCATTCGAGCTGCGTGAACCCCTCAAACATGGCTTTGATGTTGCCAATTCTGAAAAAGAAACCCTGGAGCCTGCAAAACCTGATTTTGGATATTCTGCTCAAACCCAGGTCTCTACAGGCTTTTTCGAGAGCGGCCTGTGCTGTTTCCGAAACGGATTTGGTCTGAAAACCACGCTCTGATGTTAAGGAATCTGTGAAACCTGATTTTAGGGCGCTGGGATTTAGGTAGGCCGCGAACATGGGTCGACATGCCAGATTTGCTGCGGACGCCAGCGTTGAGGACTTTTTTATTTGCAGTACTTCTACATTGCAAGAAGCTAATCACCATGTAGACGCCTGTAACATCAACCAACTCAGAGATCTCTACCTGGATGCAACAGTCCCATGTTGGATGCTGTTTGTAGTCTCCGAGTCGCGTAAACGCAATTGCAGGAAAGTTCACGGATGCTTGGTTTCAGGTACTTGTCGTTGCAATCTTTTGGAATACATGAACGTTGGCACCGATTCTATATGCGAAACCCACTGAGGACGTATAAGATAGATGCGTTGATTCCCGACCAAACAAAGTGACCGAGACTCCTGTTCGACAACAATGTACATCTGATAAACGAATTGCGCAAGCACCAGCTCGAGAAACACATCAGTGGCAACGCAGCCAACAGCTCATCAAAGCTAGCCGCTCCGCATGTAGATGCTGGATTTCGGAAGCAACAATACTACTGCTGCACGGCCAGGACCATGGCAGTTCCACACCGGCACGGCGTAGCCACGGCCTCAACTACGAGAAGCTTTGTGTTGCTGTCCTCCGTGCAATGTATGAGGTGGGGACCCGCCGCGTGGACCAGCACCCAGCCGGTGGAAGCCATCCGAAGGATGACTTCCACCGGCTGCCCCCCCTTGAGCTCTTCCCAATCGTGCAGCATCCGCACTTCCTGGCTGGAGGTTTCAAGATGTTCGACGGGGCTGTTGGTTCAGCAGGCCTCCACCGAGGAGTGCGGCTCCTCGGACTCCGACACGTAGTCGAAGTCCGAGTCGGGAAGTCCGAACGGGCGGCCCTGCTCCTCCGCAAGGGCCACCCAGGAACCTTCGTTACCGTTCTTGAATACGCCAGCACCATCACCGCCACCACCAACAGCAACAGCCGCAGCAAGAACAACAACACAAGCAGTAACAAAAACAGGAAGCCAAGCACGTGCCCCAGCCAACAACCGGAGCTTGCAAATACGAATTCGACGAGGTCTTGGAGAAAACCTCACACCCTGACCCAACTCGTTTCGATTTGGTTTTGTGCCGAGGTGCAGAAGAGGCCCCTTGCATTTTCTGCATATCCGGCTTCCGAGATTGCAGGAATGGGGGGAATCCCACAAAAGCACCAAAGTCAGCAGGCTTACACAAAGAAAGTGGGTGCACCTCGACTTTGGCCCTTGGCTTCTTAAAAAGTGGTCATTTTTAGAGCCCTTTGGGGTGGAGCGTTCTGTTTAAAAATCTCGAAGCGGGTGATGCCGTTCGCTTGAAGTGAACGTCTTACAGTCTTTCGACTCGCGTTTCACTTGTGCTTGGCGGTCTCGCTCCTCACCATGGACCCGGGCCGTAAGGGACCAGTCGGTCCCCTTCGGCTCGCCGGGTCTCATGACGAGAATCGGCTCGCCCTTGGAACGCCCGGCAATACTTCAGGTGCTCTTTGACGCCCGGAGGGAGCCCATTCCTGGTCGTGCAACCACACAGTGGTAGTACTGAAAGAAATTAGATCACAAACTGAGGTCCCCGCTTGAAGTGGAAGGCCTCGACTGTGCCGTTGCAGCAGCAACGACGTTTCACCTCTTTCTTCTCTTGCTTGCTCAAGACCTGCACGAGACTTACTTCGAGGACATTCGCCTTCCAGCCGACACCGGCCTTGGGGCTCATGCCTGATCCAAGGTTTAGGGTTTCTAGGGTTTGGGGCTTAGGGTTTACAGGGTGAAGGGTTTAGGGTTTCTAGGGCTTGGGGCTTGGGTCTAAGTTCTCAGATCTTGGACCTAACATCGCAGATCCTTATCCGATTATTTCGAGTTTTGGCCCTGGGCCCCTGCTACAGCAGCCTTCATTACTACACTGGGGCTTGGGGCATGCTCGAGTATAACTATTCTAATAAGGAACCCTAGTGAATAGTTTGTACATGTTCGGGCTTCTGCTGCACCTGCAAAACCTGAAGCCGTCGAAATCGGAACACAACACGCTAAAGCCCAACTTCCCCAGACGTGTATTCACCGAGGGTCGGCTGTGTCGGCGACAAGTTGCAGCGCTTCCTGTGTCGAACAAGAACCCCAAGGGTCCGAGTA